TCTGTGCATGTATCTACAATTGCTCTGACTCTTTACTTGACAGTTTTCAGAGATTGTTCAATAACCTGCAAAAAGATTAAAATATGCAAAATTAAACCAAGTTATAAATTATTTGAAAATTCATGTAACATTCTATGAGGCTGAAAGTATTATAAAATAAATAAATGTGAATGTAGTGTAGTAGGAAAGGAGAAATGCATGAAGAAAACATATGGCTGGACCGGGAATCGAACCCGTGACCCCTGCATTACTAGTCAGGACTCAGGTGCTCTAACCACTGAGCTATCCAGGCTGATATCCACGGTCCGTATAGCTCGAACTTCTATATTCCTCCCTCCTTAAATAGTCTTCAACCTCAAGGACACAAGTTCTAGGGCCCTGCCAGGAATTATTAATTGACACAAACACTGTAACCTGAACAAAGCCCCCCCCCCCTCACTGGCCATCAAATGTAGTATGTTATGGGTCAGAATAACCCTAAATGCCAGCAAAGATCAATCACACAGTTTAAACTTAACAATAATTTATTTACAGTAATATACAAATCATTAAGTACAAACTTAGCAAAAATCTAAAAATACATACATCAGAGTGTCCGTTGCTGCACACAATGTCCCAGTGAAATTATATACCACTAATACCTCAATGATGCTTGTACGACAAGAGTGTATCTATGCATCGAATTGACAGGATATTTATACAGTAATATAAATCTAGAATATTCTAGAAGTTGTAAGTACATGATATTCCTGGAAAGTTCTGGACATGAATAAAGTTCAAGAATGTTCTAGAAAAAATGACCAAACATATTGACCACTCTGGAATGTTCAAGAAACCTAATGTTACTAATAATAGACACGATGAAACAGTACAAATACAACACACCTCACAACACCTCCCCCCTTAAAAAGTTTGAATGTCAATGAAAACTTATCTTGTTAAAATGAAATATATGTACATTAATACAAAATCATATATGTTCATGATACTCTGGACAAGGCATCTGCAATAACATTGTCTTTGCCTTTAATATGCTTAATTGTTATGTTGTAGTCTTGTAACAACAAACTCCATCTAGCCAGTCTTTGATTCTTATTTGACAATTTATGCAAAAATGTCAGGAAGTTGTGATCCGTATATACAAGAATTGGATGCAAAGTAACATTTAGATAAACATCAAAATGCTGTAAGGCTAACAACAAAGCAAGGCATTCCTTTTCAATGGTGGAATACTTTTGTTGACATTTTGTAAGTTTCTTTGAAAAATAAGAAACAACTCTATCTACCTTATCACTATGTTCTTGAAACAAAGCTGCCCCGATTCCAACATCACTAGCATCAACAGTAAGCTTGAACTGCTTAGAAAAATCTGGAGCTGACAAAACTGGGTTGCTCATAAGGACAGATTTGATTTTATGAAAGTATTTTTCACAGTCCTTTGTCCACTCAAAATTAACCCTCTTTTGTAAAAGATTTGTAAGTGGACTTACAACTGAGGAAAAATTTGGACAAAATATTCTGTAAAACCCAGCCATGACCAAAAACCTCATTAACTCTTTCTTGTTTGTAGGAATCGGGAACTTTGCAATAGCTTCCACTTTAGCCATAATGGGTGTAACATAACCTTGACCTACTTTATGACCTAAATACTCTACATATGAATGACAAAATTCACTCTTCTCAAGGTTCACAGTTAAGTTTGCTTTAGCAAAAAATGTCAAATAAAGCACGCATGATTCGAAGATGTTCGTCCCATGTGTCGCTGTATATGATGACATCATCAATGTAGGCCTCACATCCCTCAAGGTCTTGAAGAAGGGAGTGAATCATCTTTTGGAATGTAGCCGGTGCGTTTTTCATGCCAAAAGGCATTACTTTATACTGGTAAAGTCCATCTGGTGTAGCAAAAGCAGATATTTCTTTTGCTCTTTCTGTTAACGGCACTTGCCAGTATCCTTTCAACAGGTCAAATTTACTGACGAACTTCGCGTTTCCAATTTTGTCAATACAGTCATCGATTCTAGGTATTGGATATGAATCAGTTTTGGTAACAGAATTCACCTTTTTAAAGTCTGTACATAATCGGTAGGTACCGTCCTGTTTTGGTACAAGAATACATGGTGAACTCCAATTACTTTTACTAGGTTCAACAATGTCATTGTCCAACATGTACTGCACTTCCCTTCTTAGGTACTGCAATTTTATTTGATTGAGACGGTACGGATGTTGTTTGATAGGCAGAGCGTCGCCAACTTTGACATCATGACAAGCTGCATTAGTTTTCTTTGGAACATCCGAGAAGATTTGATGATACTCATTCATCAAGTTTTTAAATTGTTCTTTTTGATGAATGTTCAAATGTCCAAGTTTGGCATCAAAATCAGCCAAAATTTCTGAGTTTTTCAAGCGGACACTCTGATTACAATCTTTCTTATTCATTTCTACACTCGTATCACTTTCTATACAATTTTGAACAGTCTTAGCATTGGCTAAAGTGGAAACTGGTTTTACAGAATTTCGGTCACACCTTTCAAAATACTCTTTTAACATGTTAATGTGACAAACCCGTTTCTCTTTACGTCGACCTGGTGTCTTAACTACATAGTTTACATCACTAATCTTGTTTTCAATTTCAAAAGGGCCATAAAATCTGGCCTGTAAAGGATGACCAGGAATAGGTAAAAAAACAAGAACCTTATCACCTGGCTTAAACACCCTACTTCTGGCATATTTGTCATACCACATTTTCATTTTCATCTGAGAACTCTTCAAATTTTCTTGTGCTAATTTACAAGCATTGTAAAGTTTCTCTTTGAAATCAGACACATAATCTAAAAGATTAAGATCACTAGTCTCAGTCAGCCACTTTTCCTTCAACAATTTCAAAGGACTCCTAACCGTATGACCAAACACCAAGTCAAAAGGACTAAACCCAAGAGACTCCTGGACTGCTTCTCGTGCAGCAAATAGTACAAGATGAACCCCTTCATCCCAGTCTTTTTCATACTGGTAACAATAGGTCTTCAGCATTGTTTTTAGGGTTTGATGAAAACGTTCTAGCGCTCCCTGGGACTCAGGATGATAAGCAGTTGATATATATTGCCTTATACCCAACTCATGCATGACTTACTGGAACAACCCGGACATAAAATTTGAGCTTTGATCCGACTGAATTGCCTTTGGTGCTCCTACAAAACTGAAGAACTTGGTTAGGGCTTTAACTATGCTCTTTGCCTTTATATTCCTAAGAGGTATGGCTTCAGGGAATCGAGTGGATGTACACATAATGGTTAGTAAATACTGGTTCCCGGATCTGGTCCTAGGCAAGGTCCTACACAATCCACCAACACTCGACTAAACGGTTCTTCAAAAGCTGGAATTGGTTGGAGAGGGGCGGATGGTATCTTCTGATTTGGTTTACCTACCATCTGACAGACATGGCATGAATTGCAAAACTTCGAAACATCCTTTCTTAGCTTAGGCCAATAAAAATGACTCAAAATCCTATTATAAGTCTTATTGATACCTAAATGACCAGCTGGGACCACTATCTGGTGAACAACACGCCACACTTCATCTGGGGAAGCGTCAGGTGGTCGCCATTTTGCATAAGGATGCCATCTTTCATATAGAAGCATTCTCCAACTTTAGTAGCCTCTTCTGGTGGAAGTGCCCTGTTACTAAGTTGAATGATATCTGGGTCTTTATGTTGTTCAGAGAGTAAACGTTCTCGGCTGAGGATGTCCTTGCCTTGGCTTTCTGGTAGATTTGACTCATCTTCATTACCACTAAATTTTGATAAAGGTTCCTTTGCCACCTACTTCTTGATATTGTGTGGTTCCATGTTTGTTTGAGTGCCATCAAGGTCAGATAAGAAAGTGTCATTCAAATCAATTTCAACAGAGGAATTCGTCTCGTCAAAGGCTTGAGTATGGTCTGCCTCCATTTCTCGTCTTCTGGCCATCGCTCTAGTAACAGCACAGGCTGGATAAATGTCATCATCTTCATCATCGCACATGACATCTGGGGTGATTTTCTCACAAACTATAGGATCTGGTACAACTTTTCCACCAGCTAAATCGTTGCCTAGCAACAAAGAAATGCCTGGAACAGGAAGAGTAGGTCGAACACCTACGATAACAGGTCTAGTAACTAAATCTGACTTCAAACTAATTCTATGCAAGGGAACATCAATGACGCCTTGCTCCACACCCTGTAATAAAACTGACCCACCAGTAGAAGTCTGCTCAGACAAAGGAAGCACGCCCTCTAACAATAACGTCTGTGCAGCACCAGTATCTCTCAAAATCCGGACAGGTTTTATTTCGCTAGAGTCACCGAGTGAAACAAATCCCTGAGACATAAAGGGCTTATAATCCTCCATAGAATCAATAGAACTGGACTGTGAACCCTGGACATCAGGAGTGTCAGAACAAATCGAAATTAGGGCTTCTCTATCACCTTTAACTGCCGCACAAGCATGTTGCTGAGTTTTATCAAAGTCATTTTTTCTCTTAAGTTTGAAGCAATTACTGATCAGATGACCCTTTTTCTTACAATAACTACAAGTAGGAAGCGACCCTATTCCAGAAGATCCTTCAAAACGTCCTGGACCGGACATAGAACCACCTTGGGATGGAGACTGGGAACTTGTGAAAGACTGAGACCCTGAAACACTCTTTTTATATGTGTCTGAATTTGTAGAATTACTGCTAGTCTGAGATCTTGATACAAAATTCTTTTTATGAGACAGAGCATAAGTATCAGATATGACAGCTGCCTCTTCAAGAGTTTCCACATTCTTATCTTCTAAATGTGTTTTCAAATCTTGAGAAACACATTCCTTAAACTCTTCTACCAGGATGACTTGGCGCAAATTAGCAAAAGTTTTATCAAGTTTCTTAGATCTAAACCAGTGATCGAATAAATCTTCTTTCTCTCGTGAAAATTCAACAAATGTTTGATTATCAAACTTTCTATACTTTCTGAACTTTTGTCTATACGCTTCAGGTACTAATTCATATGCTTTTAATATTGCTGCTTTTACCTTCTCATAGTCTGAACT